TTAAATTGTGACTGGGTTAGGATTACCGTTAGGTGCCCGAATCCGCGCTGTTCAAGCAACAAAAAGTAATAGTGAAGTGAAATGAGTTTACTGACCAAGTAAACATGTGACATCAGATATTGTGCAGTGTGTCTTTTTATGACAGATCAGGATCGATGAAGTCACGAGAACACAATTTTACTCGAATAGGATTATTTTTAAACAACAGGTGAGTCTGATTCAAATTTGCTTGTTATGTATTCACGAAGAATGAATAAATGAACACTGCTTTTAATTATTTTGTTCGTTATTTAACTGACAAGGAAACATATCGAACCGCGACACACCGATTTTAATGAAACTTATATAAAAGATAGTTCTCAAGAAAATATTTGACACGTATTTTTTTTTATCGGCTATCGTTCACATTGAAGGGGTGAAAATAGCCCTCGAAGTTGGGGGTTGAAATCATATTTTTGGGAATATCTCCAGAATTAAAGAAGATAATTGGATTCTTTTTTTTTGTAAATTGTTCGTCTTTAAATAGGGAATTTTTGAGCGTAAAAAAATTTCACAAACTTTATTTGTTTAAATAATATTTAAAATTAAATAATATTTTGAAAATTTATCATTTTTGTTTAAATTTTTGTACTAAATGTTGATCTGATTTCTTGCAACTTTGTGTGTGTAAACTATGGACAAAAATAGACGATACGTGTTTTTGGAATTTGTTGTTTATAGCAATGTTTATTAGATATATAATTTAAAATCACTTCCTGTGAAGAGGAGCAGTCAGCATTTTTATTAAAAATATCATTATTTTTACCATCTTTTACAATATTTTAGACATTTTATACCAATTCATATGCAATTAATTGATCTCCCAATAATTATTGTAAGCGTCGCAGGTATGAGCGTGACGCGGTTATAATCACCGCCGCAAGGAACATAGGCTTTTATGGCCAATATTGTTAAAAAATAATTTAATTTATTTCTATTTTCTTAATTTCTTAAAAAAACCCAATGTTTCCAAAAGTTCTAAACATTTTATTTAGTTCGAAGACTTTACGCCTGTAAAAGTATAACAGCACTATTGGCCATAAAAGCCTATGTTTCTTGCCGCGCGCCGCTATTTAAAGACCAACATTTTACGAAAGAAAGCATCCAATTATCTCCTTTAATTTCGGAGATATTCCCAGAAATATGATTTCAGCCGTTAACTTTGGGGGTTATTTTCACCCCTTCAATATGCACGATTGCCGATAAAAAAAATACGTGTCAAATATTTTTTTGAGAACTGTATCTCACATAAGTTTCATCAAAATCGGCGTGTCTGGGTTGGATATGTTCCCTTGTTAGGTTAAGTTTGACCCGAGGTAAAAACTACGCCGTCGCTTGTCACCTAACGGTTCGACAGTATTAAAGCCATAAAGTTTGCTGGGTCTCGAAAAAACATGCTAAACAGAAAAATTTGCAAATACAAATTGCACGTGATAAATGGCTGCAAAAGGCAGCTTGTTTATTCAAGAATATTCCAAGGATAAAAGATAGACCTGATGGCTTTACGATTTTAAGATGGCCGCCGTACCAGTTTTAAAAATTGCATTAAATAATTGATCAGAATAATTAATAAATAATAATACACATTTATCACGTGTGGCATAAATTGTATGATGAAATTTGAATAATTATAATTGTGAACTATAATTAGATGCAATTAATTCAATCCGTTTCGTTGATCACGCTTTTCACATATTTGATACAGTGAAAGCACATTAAATATTCAACATGCATCAAACTAGATGACGAATTAAAATAAACAGTTATGATTTAATTTTTAAATATTCTGATCGGACTTATATCTTTTGTTCAAGATAATATTTGTTCCTTTTTAATCTTTATGGAAAGAAATGTTATACTTAAGAATTTCTTTAAAAAACGTTTTAACTATTTCATATTTATAATTTAAATATTTCAAATGTGAATACTAAAAGATATTAAGCACAAAACTATGTTGTGTCAGTTTTATTTAAAAAAGAAGTATTATATAATTTAAATGTTTATTTCATAACAGATATGAAAATCGGGTATGCATATGGAGGTCAGATATAACAGGTATAAGCATCAGGAATTAACAGCTTCATAAAAAATATACACAAAAATATATAACATTCAGATAACATTTTCTTCAAAATTTCAACGATTTGAAAGTGTTACTTTACTGTTAAACTGTAGTATAATTATAATAATTAAGTGATATTGCTATAGTGCTATTTATCGAATAATTGTAGTATTTGCTACAATCATTGAGGACTTTTCTGACATCAGTAAACAAAATATCTGTCCCTGTTGTATAGATGTTTTTAAACTACAAATTTTATATTGAAGAAATTTTCATATCTGTTATCATTGGAACTTATAAAGTGAAAATGTTTTTTAAAAAATTTCCACAATTCATGTTTTAAATAGAATGAATTAAAATGTGTTATTTTTTTCCGATCCTTAAATTAGATACCAACGAATGTTTTATATGACCTCATATGTTATTTCCGATTCGCATTACATAAATAGCTTCACTCGAACTACATTAATATAACATTCCGATAATGTAAGAAAATGAATAAACATTACTGAAACATACTGTATACTTTGCTTATGTTTATTTCAGTTAATCATACGAGTTGTTTCTGTAATATCACACGCACATATCTCAAACTTAATTTTATTTTGTTTATAGTCCATTTTTTCCATGCATATACTTGTAACTATTGTTTAAAGTTAAAAATTAGCAAATTCCATTATGCATTAAAGTTTTCAGTTGAATAAACAGATACATCTGTTATTTGTATGTAGTGTTCAATATATTATTTATGTACAATGTACTGTAAACTTATATATGTATGTGCTAATATTGCAAAACCTTGAAAGTATCAAATAAATATTTCGTGTTTAAATGTACATGCTGATTGTATAAAATCAATGAAAAAGAATTTATTTCTGTAAATGATTGCTTTTTTGGATCAATAGTGGCTATTAATATATTTTTCAGGATATAAACAGAGTCATAGAGTCGTATACGAGGGCTTCTCGAATTGCTTTGGGAGCAGTGGTATAAAATAACCAATCATAATAGCTGAGAGCGCGACTCGCCTACCTAAAACGGAGGTACCCCGCATCTTTTCCAGTATGTAGTGGCGTCAGTTTTCGAGGCTCCATCATTCTGAACAGCTCCTTTTAAAGTAGAAGCTTTTAAAAAAAATGACCATATCTTTTTTAAATTTACACTTTTCGCGCCCCTTATTAAAAAAAAACGCAGAAAAAAAATTTGTTTAAATTTTGCCACATTTTGTAACAAATTGACGGAATTAAAAAAAAAATATTTAAAAATAATTGTTTCTCAATGAGTAGTTTCTCAAAAAAAATTCGTACGTGATGCCTATCTTCCCCTTCAACGATTTGAAAGTGTTACTTTACTGTTAAACTGTAGTATAATTATAATAATTAAGTGATATTGCTATAGTGCTATTTATCGAATAATTGTAGTATTTGCTACAATCATTGAGGACTTTTCTGACATCAGTAAACAAAATATCTGTCCCTGTTGTATAGATGTTTTTAAACTACAAATTTTATATTGAAGAAATTTTCATATCTGTTATCATTGGAACTTATAAAGTGAAAATGTTTTTTAAAAAATTTCCACAATTCATGTTTTAAATAGAATGAATTAAAATGTGTTATTTTTTTCCGATCCTTAAATTAGATACCAACGAATGTTTTATATGACCTCATATGTTATTTCCGATTCGCATTACATAAATAGCTTCACTCGAACTACATTAATATAACATTCCGATAATGTAAGAAAATGAATAAACATTACTGAAACATACTGTATACTTTGCTTATGTTTATTTCAGTTAATCATACGAGTTGTTTCTGTAATATCACACGCACATATCTCAAACTTAATTTTATTTTGTTTATAGTCCATTTTTTCCATGCATATACTTGTAACTATTGTTTAAAGTTAAAAATTAGCAAATTCCATTATGCATTAAAGTTTTCAGTTGAATAAACAGATACATCTGTTATTTGTATGTAGTGTTCAATATATTATTTATGTACAATGTACTGTAAACTTATATATGTATGTGCTAATATTGCAAAACCTTGAAAGTATCAAATAAATATTTCGTGTTTAAATGTACATGCTGATTGTATAAAATCAATGAAAAAGAATTTATTTCTGTAAATGATTGCTTTTTTGGATCAATAGTGGCTATTAATATATTTTTCAGGATATAAACAGAGTCATAGAGTCGTATACGAGGGCTTCTCGAATTGCTTTGGGAGCAGTGGTATAAAATAACCAATCATAATAGCTGAGAGCGCGACTCGCCTACCTAAAACGGAGGTACCCCGCATCTTTTCCAGTATGTAGTGGCGTCAGTTTTCGAGGCTCCATCATTCTGAACAGCTCCTTTTAAAGTAGAAGCTTTTAAAAAAAATGACCATATCTTTTTTAAATTTACACTTTTCGCGCCCCTTATTAAAAAAAAACGCAGAAAAAAAATTTGTTTAAATTTTGCCACATTTTGTAACAAATTGACGGAATTAAAAAAAAAATATTTAAAAATAATTGTTTCTCAATGAGTAGTTTCTCAAAAAAAATTCGTACGTGATGCCTATCTTCCCCAAAATAGGCAAAAATTGCAAACTTTGAAGGCTTGTCATTCCTTAACAAATTCGAAACCGCCTTAACAGCCACTATAAAACGTCACTTAAAGCTACGACAGAGGGACAGGTTCAAATCCACGATTGTACCGTATGTGGCGATGCACGTACCATTTGCGGTGTAAAGTTCATAAGTACACTTCTTCGCAGGTCCACGTAGACGCTCACGTGGGTATCTACTAAGAATGAAATCTTCGTGCATCGGTCTTGCACGAAAATACGGCGGGAGGTTGAACCATCAGCGAGTGCCGTGTTCACGGACGGTTCCCTTCGTTTCCCGTACTTCAGGTGCACGGCGATCTGCACTTCTTCGCCCGGTTCCGATATTCATTATGACACCAGCACCAGTCTGGATTTCCATTTCCTCGTTCCGTGAAGGACTCACGGCTACGGGATCGGTGGCGTTTCTTGTTTCGCGAGAGTGATCGGTCCCTGTTCCTCGTCAGTGCGTTAATGTGTAACTTCAATTGCTTGATCTGCCCTTGTAATGCACTTATTTCATCCTTCCTGAACGTTTGGGCAATGCGTCCCCGCTCCGGTCGAATTTCGTGAATCCGGTCAGTCATTTCAGTTAGCACAGTAATTGTCTTGTTCGTTGTTGCAGCTAGAACCCTTTGCATGTTGGTTGGAAGCCGACTCTTCCACAGGGTTAATAAAAAATCGTCGAGGATCGATGGCGTCGCGAGTTTCCTTAAGTCGTGGAAAAACTGCGAGGGGTTCCCAATCTCCTCACTTTCAAGGAGTTTTCGCACTCGCGAACTGTCTGATTCAGATAAGCGTCGCATTAACTCTTGTTTTAAAAACTCATACATTCCCGTCGCAGGCGGGTCCAGCACAATCTCATCGATGTGTTCCACACACTGCTCACCGAGATTCGCGATTGTAATATTGAACTTCATTTCGTCTTTGGAGATTCGCGCGGACGTGAACTGTGCCTCCAATAGTCGAAACCACAACGCAATTTTGTGCGGCCAAAATTGTGGAATACTTAAATTTTGCTGACTTACCAGTCCGACACTTTCACTATCACTTGTGTTGCTGGACAAACCGGGTCGGCAAGTTTCACTTATCGGGCTCGACATTTTCCGTAAAAAAAAGAAATATAATAGTTTTTTACACTCATGTTCACCTCTTTTTCCCGATCACGGCGGGATCAACAATTTGAGGTGAAGGGTGAATAAATTATTGATCATTTAACAGTAACAACAACTTTATTCGCTTAGACGAAATGCACGTCGTGATAGAAAATTCGAGAATGTCCGCACGGGTCGAGTTCGCTTTTTCGAATGGTGTTTTTCGTTGCCTCTTGAGCCTACCCCGGCAAGCACGGAGGAAAACTCAGGAGGAGAAATCTCGAAAAGAAACGGCCAAGGGACTTCATATGGTCAGTGAAAGTTTGATTGTCTTCGGTACCAAAAATTGTAGCTGCTCGCTACAAAAATTTTTCCGAATAAAATGGTGCAAACTGTTAATATATTTATTTATATTTAAGTATATATGTTTAAACAACTGTTCAAGGAAAAACAACATTCAAGAAGGCTCCAATGTGTAGATATTTTTCAATTTATTTCTAGTCATAGCACGCGATTGTGCAGACACTTTTCCTATAAAGAGCATCAAGAGAAGTGACATGCATCGTTTCATTTTCAATACAGAAAAGAAATAGTCAAAACATGCAATGCAGCAGAGGTACTCAACAGCGGAAATCACCTGACCATTTTGTGGACACAAATTCAATTTTTACGTCGATTTTCAACCTAAACCATTTTAAGTCTGACTTATGCTTATTTTAACTAAAACAATTTATTTTTTACACTATAATTTACTTTTACTTTTTGGCAATTTATACCTAGTACAATATAGCACATTCCAATGGCGGAAAAATAGTTTTACATTGTTCATATGGATAACATTGATTGCTGGAAAAAATAATTGATAGTAATTAAATTTAAGGAATGAATATTGTATAAATATAGGATCATACGTGTTTGAGCTCAAAATTACAACCGAAATATCAAAATTATAATTTCACATATAAAAAGTCGACCATGTGAGTATCAAGTTAATATCATTAGTAAATTGCACCTATTGTCACCTGAATTTCATTTTGATGTTCTTTTATTTTTTTCTTTCATTTCTTCATAAACTATGATTCCAGTCGTTGTTTTCAATTTTGTGCGTAGTTCATTGTGCAATATGTCGAGATCCATATGTCGTTACCCATTATAAAAATGATATTTTCTGACTTTTAGATATCTCATGATTTTTCATTATAAACCACTCAACATTTGTATCTTCTCTGTGCGTCTATATAAAATAAAGTTACTTTCACCAGGCGATTTACTTTCTACAATCATATTACTTCTATCTGTAATTTTTTTTTTCGTATCACTTTCATTTTCGAAAATATTGAAGTGGGTCAATTCAAATGCACAATATACGACGAACACACATTCCAAAAGTACATAACTACGACATACTGTGACTATTAATTAAAACTGTACATCTCATGTAAATGTTATATTCGGTTAAAAACTAAACTTAAATCGACTGGGCAGCTTCGTAATTCACATTATTATAATATACATATACTACGTGTATTTTTTCTTGCTTCTATGTAGGAAATAAACTGAAATTTTCTTAGATTTGTAAGAAAAAATTGGTAAAACCGTACACCTGCAAACTGTCCGATTTCGATTTTATAATTCTGATTGTGAGTGAGTGACTGTTAGAAATTTTTGTACGTTTAAGACGAATCTGTAAGCCATTTTGTTGAGTGTGTACTTATAATTTTCGAGAAAATCGAACCTATCAAAAATTTGTACAATTTAAAGTTTTAATATTGTATTCGCCTCTACAACTACACAGTCCTTTTTGATATGCAGTTACTTAATTCCTATTAATTTTGCCGAATAAAATGATGTAAGTCACCGCCACATAATAAACATTCAAAAATGTTTTCGTAAGATTTCAAGTGCAAGGTCGTACCAAACATACGAACGCTGTTGATATTTTTCAGTTTGTTTCAGAAACAAAGAATCTAAACAAAGATTTAACCATATCGTACGAAGTGGCCAACATTAGTATTAAAGAAAGCGTAACAATATCTACAAATTCATATTTTGTTTGCAATCTAATACTTCCACAATTTTACATAACGCACAATAGAATCACGAAACGAACACAACAAACAGGACGACGACTGACGTTGGAAACTACCATCCCAATCCTGTTGTATATGTATCTGTATTGAAAACAAAACACGCGACATCATAGTGACGACAGTAGTTCTCAATGTCGATGGTCGTTGTTTTTTTTACTAACATTTCAGTTGTTTATTTAAAAAATAGGGCAAATTCGTTTGTAGAACAAAAATGAAAATAATGATAAGTATGGTCAAAACTGAATATGATACTTTTATCTATAAGAAATCTGCAGTCTAAATAATTTTTACTTAATATTTGGACGATAAACTTTTGGTGATTAACAGTATTAGAAAGATGTTTATTTCACTTTAGGTTGAAATTATTTCTAGCCGAATAGATTACAAATAGCTGCAGCAAAGTTTAGTAATATTGATAATACTGTGAAAAAGCAAAAATTATATAATGTTGGTGGTATAAGTAACCTCAATATGAATAAGGATGTGCTGTAGACCTATCGAGATTAATAAATTTAGAATTAGTAAATTGTAATTTAGTTTCTAATAAGTACTCAACAAAGTCGACACGCTTCACGTTTGACAGGTACATATTGTAAACATAACTATAGATTTTTGAGCGTTTTAGGATATTGAAGGTTTACCATAGCAGCAATAAAAGACCAAGGAACCATTATTTATCCGCTTTTACCCAGCTGTAATGCATTTTGAGCCCGAGGTTGACGTAGTTACTTTTTTCAGTTCCATGTAATTTGAAAAGTCGAGGCGATCTCTGGGTTTACTACTGTTACTGTAACTTATAAGTCGAGTGCCGGATGGGTCACCGGTCAACAGTTTGGGCCGGAGACCGCTAGCAGGGGAAAACGGGAATCCCCGATTTGGAAAACGTCATCCCCTTTTGCACTCCTTGTGTATTTTCCCCTTCCTAGGGTCCTGGGAAGATATATATTTTGTACGGCAAGATGCGTGGCAATCCGTCCTGTTATACTCGTTGGAGAATAAACTCACACTCGATATTTTTGTTAATTTTTATTTAAATAGTTGTTCGACCTTGAATTTATTTCACCTCCCATCTTTACCCCGAGTTTAGTCTACAGAATTCAGAAGTAGGATAAGTTTAGTCTACAATATGTACAAAACACAAAGCAATTAGATAAATATTTTTACTACTTCAGTGTACTATAGTTTGATTTTTATTCCGACTTTCAGATTTTCAAAATCAATTAAAAATTATTTCCAAAGATTACTGTAACTGTTATGTATCTTCCACATCAATTATTCTTTAAATATATTTAATTAATTACCATGTAATTATAATTCGTATAATTTTAATAAAAAAAAATTCACGGAGTAGTTTAGTGTCAAAACAGACTGAATAGGTGCAACAATGACAGATTCAATCATTTGTAGATTTGCAAAACTGCAATTTTTTATTAAATTCGATTTTGTAAATATTACAAAAAGGCGGATTCGTATCGGCTATAAAAAAATCAATAACCGTCGTTTAGTTAAAACGTTATCATTTTAATATATCATGTAAATGTTTAAACATATTTGTTTCATACCGTGCATATTTTATTCCTTTTACAAGCTCATTATTAATCAGCGAAGGTTCTGCTGCCATAATTATAGCTTATTTCATATAGTTCAAATAAATTAGTAGCTTATTTCATATAGTTTAACTAAATTGTAACCATACTAGTCATATAGATACATACTGTGTATCCACGAGCCGGCGTATGTGCTCCGCAAAGAAAGATTATTCCTGCTTGTCAGTTTGTGTGCGCATCAATCCTTACTCTGTGTCAATTCTCACCTTATATCAATTCTGTATAAATCGATGCAAGGGCACGAATCAAATACTCTACGTTCGGTAGCATTAGTGTTAATTTACAGATGCGAGAGTCACTTGTTAGTTGAGAAACGATGCGCAAAGACAAGCCACACCGACTTGGTACAATCATCAAACGACTGATTGTACCGTTGATACGTACGAGCCTCAAACCGAGGAGTCGCGTGCACAAACCAGGCCATGGAACTGCACTAACGAGAAACCTCTATTCATGATTAACACTGCATTTCTCCATAGTAGTCGAATTTCTTTTTTATAATTTAAACTCGTATACTCGCAGAATCCAATGTGCAATACTATGATTGGGCGTGTAGGATAAGTAGTTTTCTTTTACATTTTTATACTTTTATTTAATTGGTGTCTCACAATTCGTGTAACTCCCGGAAAGGGGTGGTAGAAGACGTGATTCTTAACAAGGTTTCCCTTTGCAAAAATGGGGTTTGAAGTTTCGGTGTTAAATTATTAAGCAAAAATACGGACCAATCAGGGCGCGAGAATTACGCGCGCCTAGAAGCGAGACCAAAAAGTTCGAGCATAGCAGCTGAGTGCGATCATGATCTAGTGCCTATGCGCCGGGACAGTGTAAACGTTTAATAAGAAGCCCTTACGTCAAATCTCTGTTAAATAATGAACAGCACAGTTACAAATAATGTTCACTTATTCGTTTGTCATGAGTAAGGAACAAAATTAGTTATGTGTAATTGACAGAAGTCCAGTGTAAATTAAATGTCTGTAACTTCAGATTTACATAAAACTTGTAAACCATTAAATTAAGACTCAGCAATTGTTTAAAAATAATTCTGCTTGATTGGAGATGGATCCTCGTAACTAGATAGTTCTTTCGATTGTAACTATTCATATAAATAATACACAGCTTCACTTCAGTATTATCTTTTATTATCACTTTCCACTGTAATATTTTTTGCCACTTTTCACTAATTTCCTAACATAATAACGAGGGATAAATAAGCAGAGATGCGTGAACGACTATCCGAAAATAACTTCTGTGATTTTTTCTTTTTAACGTTTTGCTTCGAACGTTCTGTCCTAAATTGCCGATTGTGACTCCA